ATGTTTCAAAGAGTCTGGTGAAAACCTGTTCGTGTGTCACGGATACCAAGATAGTGTCTGACCGAGCTTTTAGCGCGACTAGCCGGAAGTACTTCAGATAACAGGGGTCTAATATCAATGAACATGGTTCACCCTTCCCACCAGAACAAAAGCGATATTTTCATCATTTATAACTTGTCTAAATTAATGATGCAACAGGTAGTCAGTCTTTCTTCTGCTACGTAAATATACAATTAGATACGGAATTCTATAGAACTACCTTCATGCTATAAAGTTAAGTTTTTGAGTTGAACAACTTTTAGCTAAAATAAAAGAAAAAATGAGCCAAATAAAATTTTTGTATCGATTTCAATTTGAAGTTATTTCAAATATCTGCTTATATTATAGAACATCCTAGTAAATATCTAAAACAGGAAGGAATTTTCTTTTTTGTAAGATTTTACAGTAGAAGTAGTCCTCGGATAAACACCGCCATCACAAAAAATACTATAAAATACTTATAAGAATCTTTCGTTTTTTCTTAGTACTCTTCGAGACATGAATTCCAAATGTATTGCTATTCTTGAAGAAAAGCTTAAAGTTATGACACCGCGAAAGTTTTATCATCATTTTGGATAGTCAAAATTTGAAAAGGGAGGATATAACTAGATGTTGAATATAATTCTTCAACAAAGGTGATCACCAAACATTATCCAACATATCATTGAAATCTTTTTTTTGAATTAGATATTAAAAGACAAGATCAGTTTTTAAATAAAATTCTGTCAGAAACTTTTCCATCTATCAAAGGGCAAACGTAAGATGGAAATAAGAAAAGTTAATTGACGAAATATTGTTGTTCTGAACCTTCGTTCTTCACATGTCGAAATTTTAGTGGATGTTTTAGCATAAAAACATGTAGTTCTTCTTAAGTCATCTAGTAAATAGAAATTCGACTTCAAACTTTGCACGAACAAAGTTCTTCACGGGATTCGTTAAAACAGGGAATTTCAAATATTCAATATCTCTGGATAGAAAAACAAAACTCACAACTTGTCTAAAGAGTTAATTTGATGTTCATACAAAATTTGAATTCTAAAGTCGATTTTTCATGCAACTTGAGTAAGCCTGCAGGCTTTTGTTGAAAAAAAACGAAGATCCGAAAAGCGAAACCATTCTAAACTTTCAAGTGTACCTCATTCATGGCTCAATATGAATACCGCCGACTGGAGAATCTTTTTTTACGTTTAATGTGATTCAAAAGACAAAACGGTAGATGGAACTCTTGTGGCTATGCCTGAATGTGCATTATGGAGTTTACATGTTGCCCTTTGATATCGATGTTTAGGAATTTGACGAGCTTTATTAAAACATGGTACTCAATGGAGTAAACAACAAAGAGCAACAACATGTATGAGTATTGCAACACAAAATAGAAATGTATCTGCTGGTCGATGCTATGCAGCTATGGGAGCTAGATTGGGTGATATTGATAGAAAAGCATATGAAAATCATGAAGCAATAAAAGATGACATTCAAATTAATTTATACATTGATTGAAACTCATGGTTGATAAATGATTTTCAAAAATGTTTTCTTATGCATTCAGTGTCATCAGAAAGAACTATTCAACACGTTCGTTTAAACATAGGTTTATAAATTGGCGTGTGCATGTGGATATGTCATTATTACGTTCACACACATCCTACAAGAGTATTTATAGTAAGAGTTTATTTGAAACAAAGTTATTCTTGAATTTAAACGAAACATTTTATATTGTTTACAAGAAGTTTCCCCAACATGAGCTAAATTATAAGTTTAAAAATCATGTTTTTTTTCACATGATAATTGCCATGTGCTATTACGAATTAGACTCAAGTATGAATCATAAATTTTTAGAATCAAGTAACATTGTCCATACAAAATACTGGTAGAGCAAAACATGTTGAATATATTGATATGTTAGCTAGGATTAGTTTTCTTCCCTAAAATTTATATAAACATTATTTGAAGTTTTTATTACAAAATTCTGATTTACATATGTTCGATTGAACTACTCGATAATTCATATATTCTAAACTATAGGTTACATAATATAATCACAATAAATATTCATTGATAAGTTTCGTCATTAACTGATATTTGAATATTTTTGTACAAAAAACATCTTTGTTTGAAACATTCAAATGTCTGAATAAATTGATTGTCTCAGAAAAGATCTTATAAATAATCTTTTTTTTTCGTATTCAGTAACTAAGAATTATGATTATAAACAACCGATTTGTAGATCATAGTCTACTGATCAATGTCAATAGTACATAGAATGAAAACAATGCTACTTTCTTGAATTCCAAAGGTATAGAGTAATTTTAAAATTATTCAATAAGAATAACTAGAAAAAATTCACTATTCTTTTTTCGTCTGTTATGTCGCGCAACATTTTGTATTTTTTTATAGAAAAATAATGCAAAAATCTAATGGTGACTATCATTTATTTTCGATATCATTTTCAGAGAGCTTCTTTTTTTCTTCCTATGCGCTGAATAATAAATGATTATCATATATTAATCAATCCACTTGTATGTAGGTTACATAGGATTCTTAGAATACTTACATGTAATTTTAAATTAGTATACTCCCCATGTAACCATGAAACGCTTTTTTTACGCATTTAAACGCGTCTCGAAATTGAAACTGCCTGCAAACTCACTGAAATGCGTTCACCATGTGAATTTTTGAACGCGTTTCAAATTTTGCATGCGTTTAGAGGCGTTTCACGATTAAAATGCATCAAAACTAGTTTAAAATGATTTTTACACGCGTTTCAACGCGATTAATTTCACTCTTGCGTTTGAATGCACTTAGTTTATGTGCAATGGATGCTTTTAAGTTTCAGTAACGCGTTTAAACGCGAACTTTTTGTTTTGTATAAATAAGATGCATGTGAACGCGTCTCTAGCCATGAGTGCACCGTGTTTCATCAAGAATGCACACCAATTCATCAAAATATGGATGAGTAGGTATGGAACAGTGAAGTACACTACTCACTTTTCATTCAGAAAAAATGAAAACTATACATCAAATCATTATGACGACGTATTAAAGTCTTATTGTTTTTCCAATTCTTAATATGACCATTCTTGATATATGCAACTTAAAATGTCAGTGACTAGCATTACATCAAAGATGGAAGATAAGGATGAATAAGTGCAAACCAGAAGTCTCATCATGTTTGTATCTATCATACAAATTCATGAAGACCTAATAGGTGGTGAAGTAGAAATATATGAGAATACGTATCAAGTTTGACACTTACAGGTCATTCATTGGAAAACAGTATCAAAACAACACTATTTCTCGATATGTCACCAGCGTCACTATTTTTCATAAAATCAACTTTGCTCTGATATAACATATAAGTTAAACGTAGTATTTAGATTTCAAAAAAAAACGTGATTCCTTGGAGATAGGATTACTTTTGAGAAAATGAAACTCTACGAAGCTGCTAGGTAAGATTCTCATGGAATGTGTAGATCATTTGCTCAGAAAGAGAAAAGAAATATTTGCGAGAATGAGAGCAATCCAAGCGCATAACCAGTTTTATCAAAGACACCAGAAAACTATTATTAAAACTCTTCATAAGTCAGTCAAAAAGTGATTCAAAACCAAACCACAGATATGTGATTCTCATTCTCGAGGAATTAAAAGTTAAGCAAAAATGTTTACTTTAACTGAAAGATGAAGTTCAATGTTAGTTCCCATGTAAACTTATTATGAATACAACTAGATGACAAATTGTAGAAACGAAAGACTCTGAAAGTAGCTCCAACCCGATGATACAGTTGTTTTCAAATACAACCTGAAATAGTATTGTGCCTGAATGCCATTAAAAGCAACTTTAAATAGCATCTGAATGCAGTCAGAATGCAAAACGCACATCCATGCACTATTACTACTGTGCGTTTTAATATGCTCATGTGCAATAAATATTTTATCTGGGTTGCTTATGAACGCACTTATCACATATATGATATTTATGTGTTAATGTCTAATATTTTTTTTTGTTTCCTAATATTAAAATTTTTGGACTAAAGAATCAAACGTGTTAGACGAAACAAAATGCATATAATCGTATACAAAAAACCTCAATTCTTTAAATGCATTTAATCCAATTCCCATTGATTATTCTAGAACGATTCTATAAAATTTACTTGTACCTTAGTATCATTAAATATTTTATTTACAGTAAAAAGAAAAAAATCAATGACTTAGCTTGAACTTGAAATTTATATTTAAATATTTTTGTACTTTAAATAGAAAAAAAGAAGGGTGTGGGTGTGGGTGTATGGGTGTGGGTGAGGGTGTGGGTGGGTGTGGGTGTGGGGTGGGGTGTGTGGGTGTGGGTGTGGGGTGTGGGTAGGTGTGGGTCTGTATGCGAGTGTTGTTGTCATCTACGTCCACACCCACACCCACTCAAAATACATAATTCTCGAATATCGCTGTGTTCTCTCCATGACTTGTAACTGCAGTTTTCGTTTTCAATCTATATTTCAATATTGATGTATAACATTGATATTGTCAGTGATGGCTAATCGAACGAAGATCATTATTTTCTATGATTTCTGAATCAGCTATTTGGTAATTTATCGTACTTATCCGTTACTGAATTTTATTTTTCTTTCAAGCTCCAGATTCAATCAAATGAAGTTGAATCATTCAACATAACATAGAATCTAAAATATTTAAAGCGGTACGCTCCTTTTTAATAATGGTGTTCGATCAGCCAAGCGAAGATCTAGAGGATATTAGTGTTCATTTTCGAAAATATATTCTATGACAAGTATGCGATGACATACACAAAGAATCTAATTCGAGCATGTTTGTTTATTTAATTAGTAAGTTTTTGCTGATGCTATGAAAGTGATGATCAATGAAAGAATGCACAACATTGATGGATAACGTATCTAAAAACAAAGTCAAATTATTTAGCGTATGAAGTTTTGGATAAAACAGAGTTTTTATCATACTGATCCAGCGTTTGACGAGAGAACAGAAGCTTGTAATTCTTGTTGGGTTGCATTTTGAAACGCACTCAGTCCACGATATTGTTGATTACCCCAATTAAAAATTAGATTGATTTCGTTTGCATTTGGTCCGTTCGGATAATACAATTGTCGATTGAATACATTATCCAAACCACCTATCTGATCTACAGTTAGAATAATATTTTTTGTGTTCGGTTTGATTGCATTGGAATAGACGAAATTATTGGATGCAAAAGAAACGACAATTTCTCCAGCTCCAGTATTTTTGACATCGTTATTTTCCAGTCGATTATTTTGGAATGTACTATTGATGACACGTCCTCGTCTGGAACAAAACAAGAAATTTCTCTCTTTCAGATCATAAATTCGATCGAAACATTTACTCGGAATCGTATCCACCAAAGAGAAGACCGGCTTTGTCATTATCATGAATGTAGTTTTCATGAACAACCATTCCTGACGCTATTCGACCTTGATTTTCAGCACCGATTTCTATACCAGCATCCGAATTATAAACTTCATTCTTTCCTATATTTATATCAGATCCTCCATCTACGTAAATACCAGCTGCACTAGAATCATATGAAGAATGAATGTTCCATACTGTATTATAATAACATTGACCGGAACGAGCCCCAAGAGCTCCCATGTTACTTTCTCCACCTATGCAAAAGAAAACAAATAAATCTCGTAAATTAAACTATTGCAGTTTGCTAAAAACAGTTAGAATGATAAACTACATCTCAATATTTAAAGTGATTCTAAAGTCAATTGCAATTCATACCTATAAAATCGATGCCAATATTATTCATATTGTAGACGCGATTGTTAGTCACTTGAAACAATTCAATATTACCATTAAGAGTTAAAGCCTCGCTCCAAGCTGGTTCACAATCATGTAATGTACAATTATCGATGATTAGTTTACTGAGACTCGTCTCTTGATTTTTGTTATAAACAGTAATTGCCATCGCTCCACCTGTCTTTCCTCCGCCAAGTATATGATGTATACGTAAATTGCGAAGCTCTGAAAAAAGAGAAGATTATTTAATTTTAATATAAAAATAAACATTAAATAACTCTGATTAGTATGTTGAGAAATCGTTTGCTACTTCTCAAAATATCTATGATTTTTTAGGAATCGTATTCGAAAATTTTATGAATATTTTTCGAGTAGTACATACCAATTCGTGTTCCGCCGCCAACAATTCTGACTCCACTACATTCGCTATTTTTCAAATTAGACAATTCAAGATTAATAATATTTAAATAACTTTTGTTTTCTATATAGATCAAGTTTAGTGTACCATCGGGTGATGCAACTGCAGCATTTTCACCCGAGATAATCGCTGGGTTATCTGGCATTAAACTAGTAAATGTGATTGATCCATTGAAGAGATTTCCTTGGACGAGTATTGTAACAGTTTCATAGTATGTTCCAGGACCAATGTAGACAGTAGAACCAGCCATAGCCTTACTGGCTGCCTTTTGAATAGTACGCCATGCATTGGTTTGTGTGGTTCCCGAATTGTCATCATTACCAGAGACCATAACGTAATATACTTGGTTTTCACCTGGAAATAAATATATAGAAATATTGTTTATATCAAGCAGACACTTATTAAAGATCAACTTTAATTTTTACCTGCTAGAGCGCAGTGAAAAATTATGTAAACCCAAATGGATACAAGTAGTTTTGAATTCATATTCGTCTGTAAATTCACACTGTTATAATTCAAGTCTTTTTTTTTCTATATACTTATAGACCTTTTTCCAGTTGACTGCACAATGTATCGTGATCGGTAATTTAACAAAACATGATGCAGAACGCATAGTAATTAATTTCTCAAGGTTCGATAAAAACGACATTTACAAAAAAAAGTGTACGCAACTAGACCTTATTCCTTCTCCTCAGACCAATAAATTGATTTTCAATGATTTGCTCACATTTATTCGCATATTCATCTACTCTAATGAAAAAACCATGTGCTTTACGAGACATCTGTTGAATAACAAGACATTACGAAGTAAGATTTACTCATTAGTAAAATTAAATATTGTATTCATTTGGTTGGGGTGTGGGTGTGGGTGTGGGTAGGTGTGGGTTTGTGGGTGTGGGTTTGTGGGTGTGGGTTTGTGGGTGTGGGTGTGGGTGTGAGTGTGGGTGTGAGTTCGTGTGGGATGTGGTGTGGGTTTGGCTGGATGTAACAGCTAGAAACAACCCACACCCACACCTCACCTCACCCACACACCCACACTCCACACTCACACCCACACCCACACCCACACCCTAAACTCCTTTCATGACAAAGTAGGGAGATAAATACTTATTTACAGAAAAAATGGCCATTTTCTACCCCGAAATCGCAGTTTTTTATTTGAGAGTAACTTTTTTCGCAGTAAAAAGTTCAGATTCGTATAGAGCACAAAATTTTGAGTTAGAAAAGACATTTTCCACTAAAGTTTGAAGAAGGGTTCTTTTACAAGGGACCCAAAATTGAAAAATAGAGCCTAGATTGTAGTCCAGACTATATAAAGAACAAGGGAGTTTTTAGAGTTTCTATTATGAAATTCATAATCAGACACTTTAATGTATAGGAATATCTAGCTTTGATTGATGAAAAGCGAAATTTTTTTTTCGACGACACCTGGGGGGACCTCAGGGACCAAAATTGATGATGTCATTTTTTTCAAAATAAACCTGAAATAAATAATCAGGAGTCACCCCATATTCACACCTAATAGAAATAAATTAGTCCTGAAGCAGTTGAAAAGATTTGACCTTATCCGCCCTCCTCCTTTATATTAACTGTTAGGTAAAATGATTTTTTTTGTATAAAAAAAGAATGATGCGTTTGTTTACATGGGTGGATGTCAAAAAAACCAAAAAAAGAATAATCAAATTTAGTAAACAGGTATGTCGACGACTTTTTTTCTATACAATTTCATTCATTTGCTCATAAGACAATGTCTTTGTTTTTCTTTTTCTCCAATATCTATGATAATATGTATTTTTGATGAAATATTTCTTTTTCTTCCCTGTCGTCACAAGCAAAACTTACGACGAAGATAATCTAGTCTTTAGAAAACAGCAGGTGAGTATCTTGTTGGTTGTACGCGTGTCTTTCAAATAGAGTTAGAAAATCTTTCTTATTTTCTTTTCTTCCTGACAATCTATTCAGCATTATATTTCATATTTGTGTATAAAAACAATACAAGAAAGCGAGTATAAATGTTATTCATGAGTCTGTATACGTTAGCGCATTGCTACATGTATAGATGTGTAAGTCAATGCATCTATCGGAGGTGATATATTCCCTTTTCTGAAAGAAAGGGTCTTACATTGAAAAATGTATGTATATTTGTCTGTCCAACCAATCAGATTTCAGGTCAAAGGTCAATGGTCAAAAGAACACATATGACAAGATTTCATATAAGGGCAAGGCCAGCCAGCGGTCAACTATCTATGAGGAAGGTTTAATTGCTGAAAAATGAAGAAAAGCGTTTCTACAATCGAAAGTATACTTTCAACAGATTATCAAATATGTTGAAAGCTATGAGATGCGTTTTATACGAGTGATAGAAATTCTTTTTTCTTCCATTATACATCTAAAAGAGAAATTAATTCACTAGTTTTATCAAAAATTATAATTTTACACATTGTTAAATTTCATTTTTGTCTAAAAAATGGACAGCAGTTCTGTTCCGATTTCTGTGGTAAGAGTAAGACTTCATTACTTAAATGATAAAACTCTCTTGGTACTACTTACGGATTGGAGAGAAGATGAGTTTTTATAATGACCATTTAAAATTTCATGTTCCTAAACCTTCCCCATTAGAATGTCAAAAGAAAGATGAAATTCCGTAACGGACAGTATGTTTTATTTTCTATTCAATGCAGACACTCATGTGAAGAAATGACCTAATGCTTCGAAAGCTTATTCAAAGCTGAATAATTTTTATATAGAACGTTTATTTCTTTCTTGCTGAATTTCGCAGTAAAGCGCTAAACTTTCAGTACACCCTTAAAAAAAATTCCATTTTTGAAATGCCGTAACGGTCGATATTTTTCTAAATAATTCTGCTCTGGTCAAAGAAGAATCAGTGATATTTATAACGATAGTAGGTCTATATAGTCTCTATGTATGATAAAAATTTTAGAGAGTTTACGTTTATTATTGATGAGATACAGATGTTGCAATGTAAAAACCTGAAATTCCGTAACGCTGGCCTTGCCCATAACAGGGTGCCTATAGGTCCTCAAGTCCTATATTATGAGGGTACCCTTAGGCTCTCAAGTCCTATATAATGGGGGTACCCGTAGGTTCTCAAGTCCTATATTATGGGGTAAACTTAGGTCCTCAAGTCCTATATAATGAGGGTACTCGTAGGTCCTCAAGTCATATATTGGGAGGGCACCCTTAGGTCCTCAAGTCCTATATTATAAAGGTACCCTTAGGTCATCAAGTTCTATTGTATAGAGGCAAGGATGTAACAATACCAATATCAGTCAATAGCAATTGGTATTAGTATTGGCTGGTATCGGCATTGTTGTAGGGGGCAGCTGGTCCCTCACGTCAAACATCAATATTTTGAAAAGCTCACAACGGATTCGGATTCCTCGACCCGAAAACCTTCGATCAAACTTTATGAAAAATCGTTATTTTCTTAAAATAAAGTATTTTCTGATGAAAGAATCAAGAATTTATAATTGTTTCGCCAAAATTTTCGAATTTGATTTCTTTCGTTAAAAAAAGGTTATTTTTCGAAAATAACGATTTTTTTAAAAAGTTTGATCGAAGGCTCTCGGTTCGAGGATCCGAAGCCGTTGTGAGCTTTTCAAAGTATTGATATTTGACGTGAGGGACCGACAGCCCCTACACATATACCGATAGCAGCCAATACCAACACCAAGTGCTATTAACTGGTATTGCTATTGTTACACCCATACCTCTATACAATAGGACTTGATGACCTAAGGGTACCTTTATAATATAGGACTTCAGGACCTAAGGGTACCCCATAATATAGGACTTGGAGACCTAAGGGTACCTTTATAATATAAGACTTGAGGACCTGAGGATACCCCCACAATTTAGGAGTTGAGGACCTTAGGTTACCCTCCTAATATAGGACTTGAGGGCCCAAGGGTACCCCTATAATATAGGACTTGAGGACCTGAGCTACTCTCCTACAATAGGACTTGAGGACCTGAGGGTATCTTGAAATAATAGGAGACGAGGACCCAAGAGTATCTTCAAAGAATAGGATATGAGGACCCAAGGGTACCCTCGTATAATAGGACATGAGGATCCAAGAGTAGTTTCACTCACACTCATGAGCGCTCATATAAGCGTGAGCTAGGGATACACCAGTTCCAGTCATGACTGGGTATCCAGTCCGACTAGTACCCAGTCCACCAGTCATGACTGGAACTGGTGCATCTCTAAGCATGAAATGGTAGCACCTAAACGACGAAGATCATCATCAGCATCTTTGGTACGAGTTTCCACAAGTTATTTATCATTGTTTCATTCATCTTTTTCCAGAATTCCACTGATAGTCAACTCATCTTTCAATTGCCTTGCGCGCATTCGTCTCCAAAGCCCGACATGGCAAGAAATATGCTTACACCATTAATATTTGTAAGTTTACCTTCTATCTTCAACCAGGCGTTATAAATCGTTTTTTCTAGAAAACATCTTAATTACCGGCAACATCAACATCTCGTCGCACGACTAGTTTCGGAACATGTTATAGCAAAACAAAGGCTCACAGTCAACCGATCAAGTATTGAATATTCCTCTTGTTTTTCTTCTGTTGTTTTCGCTTTATTTTTTCTTTTTTTGTAATTTTTTGGTCAGTTGTGCCATGTAGTTGATTTTGTGAAACGCGATCTGAAAGGAGTGTTGAAGTATAGGGGTAGAAATTTGCACCCCCTCCCCTATAGACTATGACAGACGTAACTATGGAAGCGTCACAGACCGTGACAGGCGCCTTAGCAACGCCCTCCCCCCCATCACAGACCGTGATAGACACCTTAGCAACGTCCATCACAGACCGTGATAGACATGTTGGGAAATGTTCTCATTTATGACGGAAGTAGCTGGATCTTGTTTCACATTTTAATCCAGCAGGCATCACGCTAACAGCTTTTTGCCGATTATTTGTGAAATTTTTGAACATTTCTGGTATATTTTTTCTGAAATACTATTGTCTTGTTGTCAATTAATCTAATTATGATAGAAAAAGATTTTCTTTATCTTACGAAGGTATTTACATATAGCTTAGTCGCTTGTTGAACAAGAGAAAATGATGTTTAGCCGGGTTTATATTTGAAAACAATGTCAAAGACAGAAGTATGAGGGGAGTAATCTAGCAATATTTCACGCTCTGTTTTCCCAAAATAGTTGCATCAACATCGTATAATAACGCCCTCTTTTTACTCCACTCTTTTTTATAAAAAACGAAATATACAGTTCGACAGAGAATAATTTTCTTTATCTAGGAATACCAATGCTATCTCTAGCCCCGTCAAAACGGGAAAGAACCAATCATAGGGCACTTGCTGTTGTTTCTCTTATTTGTCCTTGTCTACACTATACGATTTAATACTGAATTAAGGAATCTGATTGGTGTTTCCAAGTAGCAACACCAATCAGATTTCTTAATTCAGTATTAAATCATATAGTGTAGGCAAGGTCTTTGCCTCTGTTTAGTCGGATGAGAGTCTGTACCATTATTAGTGTGGGAGCTCAACCTGATGACTCATCGAATCGATGGCAAAAATATACTGATTGGAGAGTGCATTTAGATACTTTTTTCTAAGTTAATGTTGAGGATGTTTTGAGAATAAATAGAATAAAATGATTAGATAGATATCCGTTTGTCTGGCCCAAGTCGAAGTTTCTCGAGTTAACTTAATAAAAGTAAAATACAGAACAAAGAGGGCAGTACAATCTCAACTTTGACGACGTTTTGTTGCATTACTTGCTACTTTAAAAAAAAACCAAAAACATAGTTCCATAGAGAAAAATTTTCTCTATCTACTGTTGTCAAAGATATTTCTTGCCTATTCCAAAAAATCAGACAACCAATCATATGATACTTGCAATTGTTTCACTTATTTGATATTGTTTTGTCGGCTCAGCTCCCGTACTATATATGTAATTCAACGACAACAGCACAAGAAAGACAAAGTACAGGTAAGAGTGACCTTTAACCAATCTTTTTTTACATCGAATGTAAATATTGATTGAAGATGATAGGAAAAGTAATCACACACGCGATATTTCGTGTTGATCTACCAATGTTGAGAAAATCATATGGACTAATGTCTCAAGCTTATAACTTCAAACATTTTTATTCTACTTCACAACCACCATCCATCCCAATTATAGATATAACCAAAACATATCAAAATCTAAAATATCGTCGAGAAATAGCTAAACAAATCGATGAAATTTGTCAAAATATCGGTTTCTTCATTATTACTGGACATTCAATCGATGAAAACATTCAAACTGATATGATGAATGTATCAAAAGAATTTTTTCATTTACCATTATCAATAAAACAAGAAGTGACTAGCTCAAAAGAATATCCTTATGGCTATCAGGGATTAAATACTGAAACTCTGTCACTTGCATATGATAAATCAGCAACATATTTATTACCAGATTTCAAAGAAAGTTTTTCTATTGGACCAGAACACGATGGACCTATACGTTGGTCATCAAAACCTCTTAGAATGCCTTCGATTTGGTTAAATTATTTTAAACAATGTGAAAATTTAGCAAAGCATTTATATAAAATATTAGCATTAGCATTAAATTTGGATGAACGTTGGTTTGAAAATAAAATCGATAAACATCGTTCAGTATTACGTTCATTATATTATCCTTCAATTTCCTCATTACCAGAAAATCAATATCGTGCCAGTGCACATACAGATTGGGGGTCATTTACAATATTAAAACAAGATTCTACTGGAGGTTTACAAGTACAAAATCATCTAAATGGAAAATGGATCGATGTTCCTTTTATAGAAAATAGCTTTGTTATTAATTTAGGTGATTTAATGTTACGTTGGACGAATGATCGATGGGTATCAAATCTTCATCGTGTGGTTGAACCTTTAAATAAATCAAATGGCTTATATCCCGCTCGTCAAAGTATTGCTTATTTTGTTAATATAAATCCAGATGAAATAGTGACATGTATACCAACATATTGCTTAGAAGATAAACCACCCAAATATCCATCAATCAAATTTTGGGATTTTATTATGGAAAAACATTTAGCACAAAGTCAAAAGAATTATTAAACTTTCAATCATTTGAACATAAACATATATCTGATTTATATTTTTCGGTTTTTTAAATAAAGTAATTAATACAAATCCATATTGATTACAGATATTAACTTGTTAGAATGTTCACTTGCATGAACGGTCGCAAGCTACTCCACTTGTATAGTTTATCACTTCTCTGACACAAATTGAATCTTATATGGGCGTGGTGAGAAAACATTTAGGAAATGATTTTATTCTTTCCCTTTGCTAATCATGAATTCCTCATCCAATGATGATTCATCTTTCAACAAAGTTATTTCTCAGTCGATTCCTATGTGTATTGCACAAAACGAGAATTCATTTGAGTTCTCAACAACAACAAGTTTTGAAATATTGTTAGAAAGATTTTGAGTTTATAACGGCTGGGGCAAAAGTTTTGCATTAATTCTGTTTTTGATATAATTCTGCAACGCAAAGTCGTAGCGACTTGATTTTTTTTGTTAGAAAGAGTAAAGTGTCTAGTGCAAAAATGTATACAAGAGTTAAATTGGCAATGTTTTTTAGATCATATGATGTCTTTTATGGATTTCCTGAAATTCACTCAAGTCCTAGTACACCTGACCAATGTTCAGATGTAGAAGGTACACGAGATACAAGAGGTACAAGAGGTACAGAAGGTAGAGGAGATATTGGAGGTACAGGAGGTATTGGAGGTATTGGATGTATAGGCGGGTATAGAAGGTACAGGAGGTATAGGAGGTGTTGGAGGTACAGGAAGTATTGGAGGTATAGGAGATATGGGAGGTATAGAAGGCACAGGAAGTATAGGAGGTATTGGAGGCATAGGATGAGGGCGGTGGGACACACAGCGGGTATCTCTCTCGTTGAGGATGAGGGCGATAGGGCACAGACAGAAATCCTTGATTACAGATACAACTTGTACTCGCATAGTTCTCACTATGTGATCTTATGTATATGTATATACGTGTACTCATATAACAACACATATATCTCTGAAAAACCTAGAATTCATGCACTCGTATGTATCTGTATGTATAAGCATGTATCGGCCATATGATGCTTCATATGAATTTTCAGGAAATCATCGACATTTGGAAAACAAATGGGTGTCCTGGAAACCAAAACAAAATTCCGGAAATAAAGATAAATTCATGGAAACAAAAATGAATTTTTGGAAGCACGAATAGATTTAAGGAAGCCCAAATCAATTTGCAGCAAATCTAATGACTCTCCGGAAACCATAAATACTTCCAAGAACAAAATGTTTTTCAGAAAAACGTAGTGAATCTTCAAAAGTCAAACTGACAATGGCTTCGTGTCAATTTCCTTGCCATCATACCCACAGAACTGATGTGAAGAATGAAAAAACATACGGCACTTCTCTGCATATGGGTGCGCGAAAAGACAGACACATTCGGAAACTCACACACAGCGTATCTCACTCACTGAGGGTGCTCGGAAATAGCGACACCTTCAGAAAGGTGCATACAGCATATTACTCTCACTGAGGCTACTCGAAAAGACATACACGTTTGGAAACACACACAGCACATATCTCTCTAGCTGAGGATGTTCGGAAATCGTG